TAGAAACAGGCTCTGTCTCTGTGTACTTTTGCCCTTGTCTTTTTTCCTTGAGTGTCACTAATAAGGCCTGCTGGCCTACATCAGTGTTTCTGGGAACCATCGATTTGCTAATTGCTGATAATCAAGTCTTTGCTGCCCGCCTCACACTGAGAGGGCTCTTGTTTTCTGCCGTTCTGCTAAGAATTAGGGGAGAATTTGCCAGTTTTGTAGTCTCCAAAGGAGTGTGTGTGTATGTATGGGGGGGGGGGAGTAGAGAGAGATTTTCTTCCCTTTTAAAGCTCTCTAATTTCTTTGAGGTAAGCGTCTGCTACATTTTTTTGGCCTCCATCAACAAGGGGCTATTATACTGCTGACCTTTCCCGCCAAAATGAAAGGCAAGACTTGAAAGCTGAGATGCAAGGGGAGAGGGAGGGAAAGAGTTGAGGTGGCTTTAAATTCCTTAGAGTCTATTTCAGGTTTGTACCACTTATGGACTAGCCAGGCAATATATTCCCATTTTTTAAAATTTTGAAGGACCTCCTCTGCTTAATATTGGGGTTCAGTCTAGCAATGATTTGAGTCCCTTTTGTGCTTGCTGCTCAGGTGCTTCAGCTATATGTTGCTGCGTGTGTGCTTAAAAACTAATAATCGGTACACTGGAATTGCATTGTTTCCGTGCCACCAAGAGTCTTGTGTAGCATCTTGTAGAGGAGAAAATGTTTAGTTCCCATCTGCGCTATACATTTGAAGCAGTATAATGCCACTTTAAACAGTCATGGCTCCCCCCCCCAAAAATAAAATAAAATTGTGGAACTGTGATGGACAAACCGAGCACCAATTCCCAGTGTTTCCAGGGGAGAGAAATTGACCGTTGAATTGGTCTGAGAATTGTAGCTCTGTGACGAAAATAGGGCCATCCTAATACTTCTTAGCAACAGGAACAAACTGCAGTTCCCAGGATTCTTTGAGGGAAGCTGCAAGTGTTCAGAGTGGTATGATACTGCTTTAAATGCATAGGGCAGATTTGTTACTGTTGGTATCTGTTTGTCTTGGGAGACAATGGAAGAGTGTGCCTTCCATTGGTAAAGTCAAAACATTGGAGAGCTGCGTTGCCAGCTGTGGCTGTAGAGACGGATAAGGCAGGTGGGGCAGATGAAGGTGTCTGGTTTTGCTGCTGCAGCTGCACCATGGCATTTCTTCTCTCTGTACTTCTCCCAGGGGTCATTCCTCCTCTGGTCACTGCGGTCGAGACATGACCCGAATGTCTGTCTCCAGGCACTGCAATCGTCTGCAAGGAATTCCCATATGGTGGGGTTAATGCTGATAGCCTTCATGCCCAGGTTTTTGTTGAACACCGATATCGGGCCATTCATGAATTGCCTTGCTTACGGTTGTTCTGCTGTATTTTACTGTATTTCTTTTTCTACATTGCATTGTTTGATGTGTTTTATCTGATTTTTATCCTGCCCTGGAATTTATTTATTTTTAATGAAGGGCTGAATAAAAATATTTTAACTTAAAAACAACTGTGCTTATTTTCAGGTGCTTTGTCCAAGGCATTGAGGCAAGCTGGGCAGCTTCCTAGGTGCCAGAATTTCGGAGCTGCTTAGCTCAGTTATGTAATTGCCTCGGCGAGACAGAGATACTGGCCAAGTTCTCGCATAATTCTAAGCCGGGGTGTCACCAACCTTTGGAAGCTGGTGGTCACGTTTGGAATTTTGGGGACATGCTGTGGGTGCCATTCACAAAATGGCTGCTGTGGGAGTATGGCAGAACACAAAATGGCTGCTGTGGGGGCAGGTATGAGAGGCCAAACCAATGCAGAGCAAACCGTCTCTCAGGCATTGTGGATTTTTACATTGTGAAATTACTGAGGCTTTGATAGGAGCCTTGGGATGTTTACTGATGGGCAAACTTGGTGCCCATAGGTGTGGCACTGGCAATTCTTGTGCTAAGCACTGTGTGTATGAACAGAGCCCCGGGTTGATGCAGTTCCGCCTCCCTTCTGGTTCTTTTCAAACCATGGGCTATGAAGCTGGCTAACGTAACTACAACTAGAGCTTGCTTCTGAACACAGTCTCTGTACAACGTGACAACTAAACACTAGCAAAGTCCTTCTCCCAGCTGTGCAGAGCGAGTGAGGAACACACGAACCTGGAGGTTTCCTTGCTTGTGCAAGTAGGGATGAGCCATGGTTATTATTATGTGCAAACCACAGTTCTGCAGAAAGAGCACCGTGAACTGGGTTGCCTGACAATAAAGCATTTTAAAATGAGCATCAGTTCTTTTTAATTTGTGGAAGGAGATTATAATGTTGGTATCAGGTGGGCTGAGGTAGGTAGGTAGGTAAGCTTTTGGGATAAGCCTAAAAATGTTAAGAGATGCTGTATATTATACAGTTGTTGGGCAGGAGGAGTGGGGTTGCTTTTTACCAGGAGCCTGCCCTGTGCTTGAGCTTGGCTGCTGGTCACACTGCCTCTTTAAAACAAAGCAGGAGGAACAGATGATGGCTGGGCAGCTTAGGTTACATAATCTCTTTCAGGTTTAGCACTGGGGCTTCCTGAACCAATGGAGGCGTAGACATTTTATCCTATCGGATGCCAGCATTTTCCCATCTAGCTCATAACACTTCTGACCTTGCGATTTTTTTTAAAAAAACCCCACAAAACTTTTCTTGCTGAGCTCTATTGATGTGCCGAGTTAAGGGGTGGCTAGTGTCTTGTTTGTTTGTTGTTTGTGTGTGCGTGTAATAGTCTCCATCTCAAAATCTTAACATGTGTCGACTATGATAACTTCAGCAATGGTGTTTTTCTCTGTTGCTGTCTGTGCATTTCATTGATAAGAGAGAGAAGGGCTTTGTGTGTCTTTCTAAATTTGTGATTCCCGCTTCCCCCCTCCTGAATGCTTCCTGCTATTCCTCACGTGCGTATGGCTGTGTTGGAAGCAGAGATTCTGCTTGAGGGGGGGTGGGGGAAGAGCTGCTGCCAAAAAACATCCTTTCGGATTTCAAATCCTGTTTTTGAAACAGTAGCTGTGGAGGAGTACTGGAGACAGGAAAACTTGTTCCTCTGATCCTTGCTATTGCTCTAACATTTTTCGTTGGTGTAGCAGAAATAGAATATCCTGGGTGTCCACCGCCCCCACTTCGCTTTCAGAGCAGAGAATTGAGAGCCAGCTTTTGAGTCCTGTGAAATTTTGGGAAGCGAGTACTTCCTGAGCCTTGCAGGCTTTGGAAATCCTCAGATTTTGTGTTTCTTGAGAATCTCTTGTATTTTCACACAGATTTCATGTGTGTGCAGGAGTGGAGGAAATCTGCACGGTTTAAGAGGCAAAGGAGAGAGGGCGGCAGCTTAATTAGCACAAAGGAAAAAAAGCCCTTCCTGAACTCGAGTCCCATGACTGGTTTTACATTTTTAGTTCCATGATGCAGTAAACATAAATTTGCATATTCTCGTATTGCATTCATGACCATGGCACTTATAACACTAATACTACAGTGTTTTTAGGAGGGGGTCCATTTATATGCTTAAAACTTGAAGAGAAGATAGCCTTCCATTTTTGAGAGTTATTTTTTTCAGTCATTATTTTAGGCTCTTTGCAAGTTCCAAGTTTCCATTCATATTTTTAAGTGCTGTGTTTATTCCTGTGTCTGGAGAACATGGGTCTGGAAATGTAACATTTTAAAAAAAGTCTGTGCTTGAACTGCGAGGGTGGAGACAGAGGAGAATAGTTGGGAGGAAAACTCTGCCCCCTCCTAATTCTAGCCCCATAGCCTTCTAAAAGCTGTCACTCAGGGAGCCATCACAAAAGTTAAGGCAGCCAGGCCTCCTCTCAGCTCCCATGTAATTTGAGCACTGAGAAGAGCCCATGACTTGGACCAAAGGGCATTGGAACTGGTGTGCAGACTTGCAACACATGTGTTGTCCACATGTCTGTTAGCCAAGAGCCACTTCATGTGTGTTGCTTATCTTCTGTATGTCTGTGGCATGGAAGAAACAGTGGACTGATAGTTTACACAGTCACCCGTGAGATCCATGTGTGTCTCTTATTTTGCCACAATTGCCTGTACTTGGAAGGCACTGCCGTTTGATTTTATATGCAACGAAGCAGCAGGAAATCCAGAATGAGATGCCAGCACCATGTGGCCAAGTAGTTCTCTGCAGATCTGACTCTTATTCTGTGCCAGCTTGTAACCTGCTGCTCTAGTAGCTTTGCTTCTGCGCAGTCTTTATCTCTGATCTCAGTACAGTTTGCTTCTCTTAAAAATTAAGAAGCTATAACTGGATCAAAGGAGTAAGTTGCAAAGAAAGAGCTTTCCATCTAATGCATAATATTTCCCCTCTTTAAGTTGCAGTTTTAGATACGACTTGATACCTCTGCTCTCAAACTCTTCCTCGTCCAAACTACAGCCAGAGTGTGAGCTGGAAGCACTGGGGACCTTCCTTGTTGGCTCTCTGTGCTCATTCAGCGCACCTGATCCTTCCAAGCCACTCTGCACCTGGTGCACATCCTGGGCTGATCATCCTGTTCACCTGCGTACATGGGAATTGTTTACAGGCAGCATAATCCATGTGGGAGAAGGGCCAAGGCTGGCGTGCACTGCCTTGTGCAGCATCACACTTTTCGCTCTAGGTGTGCATGTGTGTGTTGAACCTGGAACTCACGTCTCTGATTTTGCACAGTGCTCCCATGTGGACGTGCCCTTCTGTTCTTCTTTCAAGGCCGTATTATGAATGCAACACTGCACATACAGGAAAGAAGCTTGCTTACCTGTGGGGCATTCCTCATAAAACCTATATCTCATTTAGATAGTGTTCCCGTCTCTGTGCATACTGGGTTAGCATACTAGGGGCTGGGGCTGTCCTGCTGTGCCCACATTTTGCTATGTGCATGGGTTCATGGAGGAGGAGAGGTCGATTAGCCATGGTGGCTAAATGGCACCTGTCTTCAGAGCAACAATGGCAGACGACTTTCTTAATGCCATTCTAGTGGGCTTTTCAGCAGCAGGATGCTGGGGAAAGGCTGTAGCTCAGTGGTAGAGCATCTGTCTTGCACGCAGAAGGTCCCAGGTTCAATCTCTGCCATCTCCAGGTATATCTGGGAAATATTCCCTGCCTGAAACCCTGGAGAGCTGCTGCCAGCCAGCATAGACAATACTCAGCTGGATGGATCAATGGTCTGACTCAATAACACAGCAAGTTGTCTTCTACCATGTAGATGGACTTTTTGGTCTTACCTAGCAGTGCTCTTATGCTTGAATTGGGGCTGTGTGATACTGGGCCATCGCCTTTTGCTATCCGCAGATGAATCTGGAGAAAATAATAAACGTAAATATAAGTAGAGATGAATGGGTGGTCTGAGGGTGTATTTGGAAAACCCACGCTTCCTACTGGAACAGAAGGCCCTGTTGACTGCTAAGTATTATGTTGAGCATTTTATGCGGCCTTGGGAAGGTTGCTTTCGTAAAGGTGGTGCTGAGCTGTAAATAAGACTGTGAGCCCCAAATGATTTGTTTTGGAAGCTCTGTGAGATCATGGTGGTCGTGTATGAGCCCTTCCTCTTTGACAGCTCCTTGGCTTGAATGAGATCAAAGCAAACTTTCCTGTACTTCCTCTTTTCATGCCCCTACTAAAAGGTTGCCACAAATAGGGTTGACCCCTTACAAAGTGAAAGGAAGGAATACATAACCTTGAGAGGGCTACTGTGTTTATGTCCTGCTTGTGAGCTTCCCAGAAGCATCTGGTTGACCACTGTGAGAACAGGATGCTGGACTAGATGGGCCTTTGGACGGGTCTAGCAACCAGGCTCTTGCGTTTTCTGAGGACTGTTGTCTGTGACGTAGGACACGCAGCCACTCTAGTGACAAAAAGAAATGCAGCTCAGATGTGTGCTTTCTCGGTGCAGCTGGTGACATTATACAACAGAGGTGGGGGAACATTTGGCCCTCCAGATGTTGGTGTGAGTTGGAACTCCAGCATGCATGGCCAATGGCAAGGGATGATGGGAGTTGTAGTTCAGTAACATGTGGAGAGCGGAACTTTCCCCATATTTGTCATAGGGGAAAGCTATGGAAATAGACCATTGATTGGTGGTTTTGAAGTATTTAAAAAAGGGATCGATTCTCAGGCAGAGAGACTGGAACTGAGTTCAGGTTCTCCTTTAGCTAATCCCATACTAGCAGGTTATTGGTGTGTCTGCCAGTCCTGAAAGCCAGCAAGATTTATTTTGTTACTTACTTATTTCATAAAATTTTGTATACATGATCTCTCCCTCCAGAGGAGGCAACCTAATTCATTGTGATGTTATTACTGGTGGGGGGCGGGGAGGTAACTCAGTGAAATGAGTGACCTAAAGTTAACTGAGAAGCCTAGCGCATTTGCTGGGTCCAGGTATCGCAAGATCAAGGCTAATTGTAGCTAGATACTGGTGCACACCAAAAGCTAGCAACTGCAGTTGTCTACAGTATACCCCAACCCCTATGGTACATCCCTTTTTCTGGCCTAGACATTGGTTGTCCAGGGAGCTCTTTTATAAGTGATACCATTTTTGCATTGATCTTACCACACTGAATTAGCTGTGAGGTGTGAGGTTAGCTGGGTGATAAGGACCCACCCTCCTTGTATATTGGAAGGTCTCCTAGCACTAATGAAGCCCAAGCAATAAATAACCTGGAGGAGATTAGCAGCCGCCTCTTGTAGCAAATTATATTTGATTTATTGCACATTTAATTAAACCGCTTGCACCTGTATATATAAACACAGGACCTTTTAAAGTAGTAAAGAATACCCTCCTCTCTGCAGCACAACAGCTTCTAATTCCTTAATAGGGTTTTAATGAAATAAGTACGGCACACAGCCTTTAGCATATTCAGGAGGGGGAGAAAGACGTATGGCTTCTCTGTAAACATAATGCCACTCTGAGTCGATGCATGCCATAACAAAGTCCGATTTAATATCTTGCTGCTAGTTATGCCCTCTCTGGAGCATCGTGTAATGGCAGCTTCAATAAAACAGCTTGCTTATCTTGTTGTGTTTGTGGCTGTCCCATCTGTGCAGTGTGAAGACTTCAAGGCAGGGCAGCTATGAAAGCTCGAATCGGAAGGGCTCTGGAGTTCCGATAAATACAAAAGGGGCTAGGGCATCCTAACTAGGAGTTACCCTAGAAAAGAGTCTTGGTCTCTCTGGACCAAGAGGAATGAAGAGGAAGCTTTTTCAAACCTAATTGCACATTGGGGTGGGCGAGAAAGAGATATTGCCCTTGAAGGGGGAAATGCAAAATCTTTTAACTTGGCAGGACAATTTTTCAAAATGGGGATGGGGTGGGTTTCAGTCAGTGTTTGAAAAATGGGTAGAGATGAAGCAGATACACATCTATGTGTGAGAGAGAATCATGTGCAGAGGAATAAAATGGATAAGGGGTAAGTTAAGAATGCAATCATAAAGACATAATTTTGGATTGATTTAGAATAGATATATGATACTCCACAGTCAGGTTAAGTGTTTTGCAAGGAGGCAGCAACGGTAAGGCAAGAACCAGAGGCAAGTGCTGTGGGATGTTCCTGAATTAGGTCTCTTTGCCACTTGGAAATGGGTGGTTGTTGTAGTGACAACTGCAGTTAATGGGAACTTTAAAGGGTGGAAGACAAGTTTTTCAGAATCCTTGTTCAGGCATAGGTCTTTAGAACTTTTCTTTAAAAAGGGAGGGGGGAGAAATTGATGTTTTATTTCAAGGCAAACACACATTTAGTTGAAATTTCTTTGGTGGTCGTGGAAATGGCCAGTAAAATAAATATTCTGAATGCTGGACACTTCATAGAAGTTGGCAGAAGACGGCTTGATATGCAGTGCTTTTCTTCCCAGCTAATCAGGATGCAGAGTGAACGCCTTTTCCTCCTTGTAATGGGGGAGGTGGAGGAAGATGGCTCTGTGATAACTTCGCTGCTATTACTATATTATTTGTTGAAGCAGAAGGAAAGGTTCACATAGCTGACTAACAAATTTTTCACAAGCTTCCCCCCACCCCCAGCTGTTGTTGCTTTGGCTTGCAACAAAGGGGAATCTGTTTGGCCGGCTGCAATATGTCTGCGAATAGTTCTCTTATTTCCGCTGTGGGGCATTTCTGCGGGTGCATGATGTGGCCTGTCCATTTTTCTGCACCCCAACTTCCCCTTGCCGTAACCCGTCCTCCTCCAGGAACCCTTTCCATCTGAGGGCGGGTGGCAACAGAGGAGAAGGTTTCTTCCCCAGTTGGATAGTGTGTGGTGCTGATAATTCAAAGGTTGTAGGTTTGAGCCCCATAAGGGACAGCTCCATAGTCCTGCATTGCGGTGGGTTGGACCAGATTATCCTCAGGGTTCCTTCCAACTCTTTGATTCTATGATTTGCCATTTGGGTAATTCCCTTTAGTAGCAAAGCACATGAATTAAATGCAAAAGATTGCTGGGTCAGTTGATGTAGGCTTGAGAAAGTCTGCTGCCTAAAGATCTGCTGCCAGCCAGTGTAGACAATACTGTGCTAGATGGACCTGTACTCAGACTTGATACAGGGTTGCTTCTTATGTTCCTACCTTGATGCCTTTTGGGGCACATGGTTTTTCATTTCCCCAGGCTTTTCAAGAGCTGTCTTAATCATTGTTTTATGACTGTGGTGTTCTTATTCCCTCTTTTCTTGTAGTAGCATAGGTTTTATTGATGGATTGCTGTGTGTTTTTATAAGCCATCCTGGAAATGCTGTTGAAGGGGTGCTGTAGAAATCTGGCAAACAAATACATAAATTTCAGACTCGGAACTACTTTTGGGTAGGGTTTTTCCCCTAAAAAAAATAAAAAAGATGTGGTTTTATCTGAGCCGAGGACATTTAAAGGAATGGGCATCACCGACACAAATCAAATATCTGTTTGACCTTTTTTCCCTTCTTCTTCCATTCTTAACACTGGGCAAGAGTCCAGCTGCTGACTTTTGTCGTAAATCTCAGCTATGTGTTTGCTTTGGTACAGCGTTTCAGTTAGTCACAGTTAGGGCTTCCGGTTTTGGGGCTTTAGCAGTTTTTGGCAGAAGCCTCCCGGGAAGCCATGTGTTTTGGGAGACAGCAAGAATTATCGACATGTTTTGCCATTGGAGGATTGGACGGGGCTCTTTGTGTGCAGTGCAGCCTGTGCTTGCTCGATGACCCTTGCATCGTAAATGGATTATGACATGGGAACTGGCACTGGGCCCCAGAATGTGAGTCTGGTTTCCTGAGCTGAACTCTGTGGAGGAGCACCTTGCAATTTGGGCTCTGGGGGAAAATCTTTCCAAATATCCAAATGCATGTGTATGTGCGTGTGCGTGCACGCAGGAGAGTATTGATTTCTGCACCACTTTGAGGGTGGTGCACTGTGGGATTGCTTTTCTTGCTTGGCTTAAATTGGGTCTCTGAAAGCACCATACTTTCACTGTGCAATGCAAAGTCCATGCCTTTAGCATGTTCAGAATTCAGCCTCTCATGTGATCTTGGCCATTGTAAGAGGGTCATGACTGACCCTAGTAGATTTTCACATCGTGGACGAGGAGAGTTGCCAGAGAGGAGTGGCTGTTTGCCAAGGCCAAGGCAGGCAGAGCCACTATTGATCCATCAACAAGGGAGCAGGGCAACTCTATCAAACCTCCTCCTTTTGAGGAGATTCCCACTGCCATCATGCCAGCTGTCTGAGGAAAGAACTATGTATTGCCCAAGGGTTTGCTTTCGTAGACTATCAGACAAAGCTCTATAACTATGTTGCAAGATAAGAGTAAGAACAGACGCCTGAACTTGCTTTTCCTTTCCTCCCTCACACCCCCTTTTCCTTGTGTGCCATGCCTCTGTTTAGAGCGGGGCAGTCAACCTTTTTATACCTACCGCCCACTAATGCATCTTTCTTGATGGTAAAATTTCCTTACCGCCCACCAGTGCTCAATGGAAGGAGGATTCAGCTTGTGCCGTAGAACCCCCTGCCGCCCACCTAGAATCCTGAAATGCCCACTAGTGGGTGGTAGGGACCAGGTTGACAACCCCTGGTTTAGATTTTAAGCCTAAGAACAGGGAAAGTCTTACTATTCAACTTGGGAGAATGG